CTCAGCTTGACTGCTTAATTACAGACAGAAAAAATCTCTGGAAACAAAACACATTTAAATCTAATAAGTTAAATATAACTAATGCAGAAAGTACATTCATCTCATCATATATATATTGTTCAGACTTGTTTGAATGCATCTGTGATATTTGCAGCAAAGCAAACATGTCCAAAGTGCAGAATATAACTTCCTTTTACTTTTAAGCTCTGGCCTCCACAGCTCTTTACTTTTAGATTGATTTGTTATGTTCCACTGATGCATCTACATACTCAAAATCTCTTCTTTTTTAACATCACTGGTGCATCACTTAATAACTGATTTAATAAGTATTGGCAGAAGAACTGGTTAAATTACAGATATTACAGTAGTGTGTCAATGTTTTGATGTCATGTTTAAAAACTAAATCTGATCCCCTGTTTCTCAGAGACCAAGACCCAGACCTGGACCCAGAGCCAGGTGAGCCGCTATTTGTCTGTTTTCAGTTGTACTGATGTGAACAGAAGGTCAAAGCTCGTTCAGATTTCAGTCACTGTCAACCCGTCTGTCTGTGTTTTGTCTTTTTGTGATTGGTCAGTGCAGAAGGAGAGGAGTCCTGGACGACCAATCAGGGCCTATATCTGAGCATTAGCATCATGTCCATCCCCTGTCTGAGTCCACACGCACCTCAAGGACTGGCTCCAAACACCAGGTACAGTGTGGGTGGAATGAAATCGACCCTTCTGAGCAGTGAATGCACCACACTGCAGGCCAGTGCTGCTGCTAATGCTGACATCACTCCCCAATTCCTGTTTGTGACAGTGTGGCCAATGGCAGCGCGGCGCTGATCGCAGTCGGAAACACTTCCAGGTCAGAGTTCATCAAACACCTAAAGAGATACAGCAGCTCTAGTGGACAGGTGAGGGTAACTCTTTATTTTGAGGAAAAACTGAAACACTGCATACATTTTATGATGACAGCGCATTCGGTTTTGAAACCTTCCTTGAATCTTATTAGGCTGACCGTTCAGCATTTGCTTACTAAAAGCTGAAATAGCTACAGCTTGTCTGTATTTTGCTAGTTGAAACATGGCAACTTAATGCATAAGATCCTCCAAGTACTGAAGTTCCTGATTCAGAACTATGAAGTTTAAATTAGAATCAAAGTTGAACAGGGAGATTCTTGAAGCAGCTGTAATTTATATAAAGTGGTTACAGCTCTCACTGCTCCTCTAGTGTTGTTTGGGGCCTCAGCAGTTGGCAGTGAAAAATGCATGAAAATGCCTCACACACTACCTGCTCAGGACAAGACAGTAGACATAGATAACCTGCAACTTGGTGGTGAACACAGTGGACCATTTAGCAGCCAAAGAGTCCAGTTCGGTCACCTTTATTTATATAACACATTTAAAGCAACAGATGTTGATCATAAGTGCTTTGAATGTGAGATAGAGACAGGCATGTACTTCAGGAGATGGTAGAGACCAAAAACTGAGCTAAAAGAGAGCGAATATTGAAATTGTATTCACCAGGTAACCACAGACATGGCTCTAAATATTTGGGGTTTTACCTTTATTTGACAGGACAGTAGAGAGTGAGACAGGAAAGTAGGGAGAAGAATGGGGGAAGGACCTGCAGCAAATGGCCATGGGCTGGATTTGAACCCCTGGCCGCTGCATCGGGGACTATAGCACCAGTACATGGGTTGCCAGCTCAACCAGTTGAGCTATAGTGGCAGCCCGCATGGCTCTAAATAAATGATGATGTATACATATGCAACAGTTGGCCAACATGTTCATTGCATGTCAGTCTTGTGGTCACAAATGGCCAAAACTTACTTATTGCAAGATTAAACTGATGTTATGATCAGTTACTGAGCTTCAGACAAACAGTTTTTGGCTAAACAATGAAACCATCTGCACAAGCTTTTCATTTCAGCTGTTATTGAGTTGATGTTGATTTTGGCTCCAGCTGATTCAGTTTGTTGATGACGCTGATGTTTGTCATTTTAACCAGCAACCATTGTTGAAACTGAAATGCTGCTTCCTATATGTTTTCCACTGACGTGACATATTCATTATCATAAGAGTCTAATGAATCCAGGTTCTGCTGAATGGGAACTGGATCTAAACTGGAAATGCCCCCAATATGGGCTGTGTTCAGAGAAGTTCCATCAGCCGTCTCACGCTTGACCTCGCCATCTTAAGGCTCCAACTCTCACAGTTAAAAAAAACCAAACTGTTGGTGAGTAGATTAGCCTGGTTCAGCATGGCCTGGTGTGGCCTGAGAGACCGCACACTAACCCACTTACTAAATATACTGACTCTGTGGCGTTCACTGTCCTGAAGAGTAAATAGGCTGTTTACTGACTGACCCACATCCTGTCAGATGTCTCAGCGGCAAACCTGACGAAACAAGTGGACATGTAACTGTCCCAGTGCTGAAGCTCACCTGTTGGGTCTTACGGGCAAAGTGCGTGAAAATGGAATTTAAATCTGTGTGATCTGACATGAGAGCCACACAGGTCCAGTCTGCTTCCCTTTCCTTTAAGAGGTCAGACACATCTTTATTTATCGAGTCGGTCTCAAATTAGCTCAAAGTTTCCTATGAGTGATTCCCTGGTTGTCCCATCTGTCCACAGAGATAGGAAGACTCAGAGTTCTAAAAACACAGCTAAGGCCTTGTGTGAACCTCAATTAAACATGAAAACAGAACATTTTCATGCAGGAGGAGGATTTCATTTCCCATCATTTACACTGGAACTGACGGAAAGAACAATTAGAACAAGCAAAACCTGCCAGTGTTCATATGAGCGTCTGACTGATGCAGAAGTGAGGGAAGTATTTATATTATTTAAGTAAAAGTACCAGTAATACACTGTTAAAACACTGACAATCTTAAGTATGTATGATCAAGAAGCTATACTTGATGAGGTATATTATTAGGTTATTATTACTCACGCCCCAGCTTTATACGAGTATAAACAAAATACAGTTACGTATCTAAAAAGTTCTATAAAACTCCTGCAATTTACAGAAATACTTATCAGATATTATGGGTCGCCAATACTACACAGTAAAAATACTTAAAATCTGAACTATAAGTGTGTATTATCAAGAAGATGTACTTGAAGTGATTAAATGTACTCAATGCAGAGAAATAGTTGTTTAGAGTGTATAGTATATCTAATATTATAGTGTATCACTTGATTAATGTTAATTGTGCCCCAACTTTATTGTATCACTTAGAAATGTAATGCATCTAACCAGACTCTAACATGATGTAAAAAATCATACAAAATGATAAAAGTGGATAGAAGGATGTCGTATGTACAATAGAATGATATGTACAGATAACAGGAAGCAAAAGCATAAATATATGTACATAGATTAAGTATTTAGTTGGTTGAAACTGAGCTACAAAAATGTTTTCTTTACACGTTAATCTGCTGGATATTTTCTTGAACAATCCAATTATTGTTTGGTCTGTAAAATGGCGAAAAAAGTGACAAATGCATCCATCACAGTTACCCAGAGTGACACTTTTGTTTCCTTTATTCTATGAAAAGTATTCTTTTGCTGTAGTTTTAAAAGAAAAGCTGTAAATTGTCATATTTGAGAATCTGGAACCTGAAACAAATAATCCAAAGAGTGGGAGATTGCATTTTATAAACTTGTGAGAGTTACATTATTCTTTATTTCAACCTAATTTTAAAGTTAAAATATGTTTTGTATCTTCATCTGAATCTTAATTTGTAAAATAACTAGGATTTCAAGCTACCATAATGGAGTAAGAAACAATATTTCCCTCAGAAGTTCAGAGTGACAAGAAAGTACCTTAAATATGTATTTAAATACTGCACAGGAGTAAGTAAGTGTACTTTGTTACAGCGCCCTGCTGGACTCTTGTTGTAAGATGGACATGAAACCATCCTGTATAAACAGGTTTGTTTTTCATCATGAAGACAGACAGACAGAGAGACACAGAGATGGACACGCAGACCAGAGAACAGTGTGCTGGTCTCTGCTGCCCCCTGTTGGAGCTTCATGGTGTTGCAGCAGAGGACAGTAAACAGGAAGGAACCCAGTCTGTGCTGCACAACCACAAGCTGCTTAACGAGAATCTTAACGAGCCTTTCTGTCCTCTGCTCTGACACACACGCACACACACACGCACACACACATACACACACACACACTTACTATGTGACTGTCCTCCTGCAGTTCAGCTTCTCCTTCGTGGAGACACACTCTGTTTCTGCGGTGAGGATCCGGCCCCGCTTGCCGACCGGCTGGTCGGAGGAGGAGAGCGAGGAGGAGGGCGACCCCAGAACCACACCCATCATCCAGGCAGAGGGAACCGCCTTCCCCTGGAACATTGATGGAGAGCTGGTGGAGATCGCCAACGAAGTGGTCATCAGGTGGGACCCTCAGTGACATTATTACTGAAAAAAATATGTCCTGATAATTACAATAATCAGAAATGTTGTTACAATTACACTGAGTTACACAGAGCTGTAACTGTTGATGAACTGTTAAAAATTTAAATCAAAGGGACATCTCTGAAGGCATCAGTCCATGCAGAGAATTTCTAAGATAAGATAAGATATGCCTTTATTTATCTCGCAGTGGAGAAATTCACATTGTTGTCAGCAGCTTTTCACATAGAGATACACACACACTCGACAGAAGAAATGTACATATAAATATAAGTATAAGAAATAGTACAACAAGTATAAAAGTACACATAAAAGGAGAATAGTGCAAACAGAATATGAGAATGGGCTTCTGAATGGGGGTACATAGAAAAAGATATATATATATGCTGCACTATTAAAGAGAAAATCCACCAATTTTACACACAACATTTACTCATTCTATTAGTTTCTGCTGATCAAAGCAAAAACAGGCTATTCATTATTCTATACATCTCCTTGTTCTCCTCATTTGCGCCATAGCTAAAATAAGGTTGTTCTTTATCATTATAAGTTTCAAGCATCATGAAAGTGAAGATGTACCGTTTGACTATCAGACGATGCAGTTTTACTGTATTTTGTAGAGCCAGAGAAACTCTTGTAGTGGAACAGAGCAAATCAGGAGATTCACAATGTAGTTATTATCACTAAACTCTATTATAAAAGGTTACATCTGATTTGATAAAATGATCAACTTTGTTTGTATTGGTACTTACACCAAAATGTGTTTTTGTTTCAAATGCTGCTATCTGTATAAATAACTTCACAAATAACTGAACAAGATTTTCAACAAAATATTATCTGTAAAAACAAATTGCTAAATATGAAACATGATAAAATACTGGGCAGACTAAATTGATGTTTTCATATGTTTTTTCTTAACCTGGGCTTTTGCCTCAGCTGGCACGATGTCTTCAGTAGTGCTTTTGAACCTGAAGTTGCTTGGGTGCTGATGATACTTTTTGTCAATCAGGATCTCAGCAGCATTTTTTTTCTTCTCAACATCCATTGAACCCACAGGCATCTATCAAATACGCTTCATCGTCTTCACATCCTTCTCGTAAACAGCCTCAACAAAAAAAGGTTTATTAGCTTCCAAAACTTTAAAAAGATTCACTAATAAAAAGAAAAATATTCCACATTATCAATACAAGGCTTCATACTCACATCACATCCTTAAAGTCCAGTTGTGCAGGCAGGTGATTGGTTGCAACTTTATCATCAATTAACATGTATTAAGATTATATTTCAAGTAGAATCTATGTATGTTTACAGCAAAGCAAAAAATATAAAACTTTAGTTTGGAGTTCTTTGTTCTCTCGTTCAGATTTCAGAAGTTGATCTTTATCATCTTTAATGCTGTTGAGTAGAACATTTTACTGAAATTACGCTGCTTTTGCTCTGGTTTCATGCACATTTAGTCGTCCTCAGATGTATTCATACCCTCCCATTAAAGAAGGAAAAAAACTGCTGTCACTAAAATAAGTTGAAATTGACAAAAGTAATAATACATTTTTTTGAAAATTATGAAAATCATGACATTGCTTTTGAATTGTGGTTCAACAAAAATATATAAATATGTATATATAAAAGACATTTTTAACAATTATTACTTTTTTCAGTTTGTAGTTATTTGAGTGACTATTGCGAATTTTGCATTTTCTTTAATGGAAGGGTATGAATAAATCTGATAAAGCGCATGCAATGGTGTCAACACAGCCTCTATTTGGAAAAATAAGAGGCAGCACAAGGTTCTGTACTGGGACCTTTACCTTTATCCCTGTAAACAATATTGTCATACCAATAAACTCATTATCTGCATTTTTATGCTGATGATACAGTTTTGTACACATGTGGCTCCTCTGCCTGTAATGCTCTTTAATCATCTCTAAATAATCTTAAATTAAATACTGACATGGGAAAATGTGATTTACCTCTAGAACCAAACATTTCTATCTGTAGTGCTTAATGATACTGTAATTCTGGGGGTTTCTAGCAGCACAGGGGTCATTACAACATCAGGTCATACGCCTGTAACCATGGCTACCTGTCTCTGGGTCTTTAACATCCACCCAACTCTGTGCGTTGCGTTCAGGGTCCACCCAAGACTCATCACTCTGTATGGGGAAGAAGTAGATGAGGCCGAGTCGACCGTCTCCTGCAGCTGCATCTAAGGACAACGGAGGGTGATGCTGCTCTCCATGTTTAGTGGAACCAAGACATGTCACTATGGTAACACAGTGACTCAACAGTGCCCTCTCTAGGCCTTTACAGTTTTAGTGGCAACGTGAAGTAATGTAGTAGCGTAACTAAAAGTAGCAATAACAGATTTGCAGCTTCCTGTTTGACATGAAAGCTTTATATTATGGTTGCATTCCGGATCGCATAATTTGACTTTTTGCTTTAAGCACGTCATGCAGCTTCCCACACAAAGTAAATACTGTTTCATGCAGCGTGCATACCATTAAGACATGTTACTTTGTCATAGCATTGCGCCTTAAACTTTGACCAGCATAGTTTGTATCATGCAATGAGCTGCCATCAGTGGCTCAAGCTTGTTTATACACAAAACAGAGGATTGTGGTCAGAATAATTTGGAAAGGAATGGTGGCTTGCAGACTTGAAAATCCGACCAGCTGCAGTAGGACATCTGGGTGTGTTTGGCTGCTACACTTCTACATTTGACACACTGTGTATTGGGACGTACTAAATCTTGTTCTGGCATAATATGCAGTATAGAAGTATGGATACTGGAGCGCACCCAGATGTTTTAATCACTGCAGCTTTAACTATGAAACTAAATGTGTTGTATAATGTAGTCATAAAACTGCCTGATAAAGATTGTTTTATATTCAAAGAATGTTTACATTTGACTATGTTTTAATTACCACCTCTTCTCATGTCATTTGACCTGAATCTTAGGTTGTTTTTTTTTTTTAAATGTGTTTAATCTCATCCAGTTTCTGGCTCTGTGGCACTAAAATATTCATGTGTTTAGTCATAGCTTGTTTTACAGTTACTAATCCCTTGTTTGAATCCCATTTTGAGTTTTTCTGTGCAGACACTTTAGCTGCAAGCAGTAACAGTAGGATGAGTTTACTGTGTGTAAAGGCTGCAAACATTTTGTATTTTAATATGACAAAACTTTAAAAAAAAAATTTTAATACGGAGTAAGAGCTGTAATTACAATAAGGAAAAGTATGCGTTGTTGTTTAAATAGAAAATCTTTTATTTTAATAGAAAAGTGTTGACAAAAGCAGTGAGACTCCAGTGCAGAACAACTTTACATAAACAAGAGCAACAACAAAGTAATTTATTAAAATATTAAACCACATTTCTGTGTGATGTGCATTTGTACTAAATAAACAGAGGGGAGGGAAGCTGCTGTTTTAGCTGTCAGCATTCACAGAATACAGACACATAAAACAATGCTTTGAATACTCATTATCTTAAACATTTATTTTAAAATGCTGGTTTCAAGTAATCTTCCATCATCCAACCCTGTGACTCGACTCATTGCTGTTTTCTGTTGCATCTTTAACTTCACTTTCATGCTGGTAGTTTTGTCCAAAGTCGAGGAGCGGTATCTTGAAAAGTGCTCCATAAATTAAATGTGTTAAATTAAATGTAAAATCAATGCTGTTGTAGAACTTCCACAGGTGGAACATTTGTGTGGACATGCCATGATGCTAACAAAAAAAGATGAAAACAGCGCGATGTCACATGATAGTTGTTCCAAGGAGGATAGCAGAAGAGAACTGTGCATTTTTTTCATCTTTGCCACATGGCTTTCTTCTGGCCACCATTCTTTTTTATTTCCTGAACACTTGAACAGCTTCCTGTTTTCAACATCCCTGAACGAACTGTTTCCACACAGCAGACAACAGATCAGAGAAATAGTAAACAAGTGAAAGATGAGGCTGATGGGGGTTTGAGGCCCAGCTACACCACAGAGCATCACAGTTAAAATGTATCTTCCTATCGCTGTAATATGATGGAAGGCTGTTCCTGTTGCAAGCATTCAACAGCTGCAAGCACATTTTTATGACCTCTGGTAGGTGCACCTTTGCAGTTTCACCACAGACCTCCAACTTGAGCAGAGAACAAACATCCTGCGATGAGCCAGAGAAAGAGCCTGATGAAGGCGCATCAGGTCAGGAGTGCACCAAGAGCATGCCTGTTGTTTTCTGACATTCACAAGGTTGTACACCATGAATTTGTCCTCCAGGGCCGGTCTCTCAATGCAGAGTCCTGAGAAAGAAGTTCACCGAAACTGTGGTGCGATGACATTTGGATGTTCCAGTGTTGACACAGTGGAGGAGATTCAGCACACATCGCACATCACACATCCTTATAAAACGGGACTTCTAGGGACTGTTCTAAGTGTGGCAGGAGCACTGGGAGCAGTGCATCTCTGCTCGAGAAAACTACTTAGGAGAAGATTGCAGCCAAATTAATGCAAGTATGTTTTTTTCTTTTTGTGTACGCAGTCACAGAAGTCTTTCCCCGCACCTGGTATGCATTTTTAGAAACTGTGTGTTTTGGTGATTATTGTTCCCCCATCCTTTGGCACACGACCTTTAAGTCTATCGAGATCTGACATCATCTCCTAAACGCATCTCTTGGGACTCTGAATGAATAAGCACAGATCAAAATCAGGCAAATGCTTTTAAAGACAGCGAGAAGCCTGAAATGTGATTGTGTGTTTGGTGGAAAAACTTTACCATAACATACATTTTCATATCATTTGTTCTGTGGAGTGATGACTCCAACAGTGGCTCTAATGCTGTTCATGTTTGGTGTAAATATATGTGTTTCGAATCTAAATCAAGAAAACATTCGTTACAATTTAATTTCTTCCTTATTAGCCAAAAGACTAATTTTCCATTCTAAGTGCATTGTTGTGATTATTATTATTACTCCTATAATATCTTCCTGAGCCTGAACGTCAGACTTAAGTTTTTTTTTATATTTCTGCATCTTATTTACACCACAGCCCAATGTGCATCTCTGCAGAACTTTAACTATACATACCGACAACAGAGACTGCCGTGTTTGCACAGCAATAGCATATCCACAGGCTATGCATAGAATCAATGCAGGAATATAAATTAAACTTTACCCCACCTGTGTGCTCGTTCACTTCTTTCATTTACAACATTTATAGCTGTTTTCTTTTTCTCCGTCATGTCTGATCGGTCCCATTCTGACACCTTCACACTGCAAACATCTACATCACGTGCTGTAAATGAGATGTTCTTCTACAATTATTTTTTTTCTACACATCTGACAGTTGAAATGTTATATGTTGTGATTGGCCGCCATCAACATGCCAAAGATGCCCTAGATGGAAAATATAATTCCTGCATTTCCTCACATTGATGCATGTGAGGGAAGTAATTCACCCTCTGGGGTCCCTTAAAAGTCAGCACATATTATCGGTGAACTCGGTATAAAAAACAACAAAAAAACAACGCGTGTGCATTTACTTCTACAAATTGTGCAACTCCCCTGAAGTGATTTGAACTCAAAACAAACAAATCACACAGCCAAAACAGGCTACAATAGCGATGGCACTTGCCACATGTGCTGCCTTGATTCAAAATACATCCACAGAAGGCAGCAGTCGTGGCAGTTTACTCCCTGTACCAGGACATCCCAGCCGCCGCCACTTTCTTCTGTCTGCTCAACATCCAGTGTCGGCTGCTGGCATCGTGGTCAGCAGGGGAAGAAAATGTAGAGGACAATGTACACAGACAAAAGGAAGGTTTTTTTTCGGAGTCATGAGCCAATCAGAGGCAAGTTTTCCGTCCCCTGAGATCACCAGAAAGCTCTTAAAAAGCACCATCCATACTGGTGTCATCGGTGGTGCCACATCCCAGGAAGCTCCAAGGCCTTGTGATTGGTCCACGTTTGACTGCTTCAAGTTCACCTCCCCTTTTTTTGGAAAAAAAAAATCTCCATCCATCACTTATCAAGTCTCTTTTTTTTTGTGAAGGCACATCAGGCAAAGTATTTTAAAAGGTCACAGTCAGAATCAGGTGTGTTCAGGAGGCGTTTGCTGTCGTCCGTCACTCTCAGTCCTGTGGTGCTGCTGACGTTCACCTGCAATACGTGGCGCTCCAATCTGTCAGCACACACTGAATGTCTCATTAAAACTGTGGTCCAATTACAGTGTGAACGCTGCTGTAAGGTCAGAGGTCACGTCCAGAGGCGACGGTCAGGGTTAAGTAGTGCTCTCTCGTTTGTTCTGTTTAGGAACGTAGTCCCAGCTGTCTCTGTTGAACTCCTCCTGCTTCTTCTGTAAGTCTCTCTTAAAGAAACCAGCCTGACAGACACAAAGAACAACAGAGACATGAAACAAAAACAAGAGCTTGTGTTGCTGTTGTATTGTAGTAGTTTATCAGTAGATTATATTGTGATTTACTGTGGTTTAGCAGCACCACTATATTGTAACATACTGCTGCTTTTTACTGTATTATTTTACAGTATGGGGCAGTTTTTAAGTACTATTATATTGCAATATACAGACCAGTATATGCTATTATATTGCAAATTATCAATGCTGTATACAGTGATATCCTGCTATGAATACATTATGTTGTGATATATTGTGATTTAATCAATTTATTGCAGTATGTCAGTACCATAATACTGGGTTATATTTCAGTTTATCCCTACATTATATAGCAGTAGTAAAAGTACATTGCATGGATATTATAAGTAGCATTATATTATGATATACTGGAGTTTTTCTGTATCTTTATATTGCAGAACACTTTTCTTACCATATTATTGTGATAAATTTTACTTTATCTGTACAATTTATAGCACTACTTATTGGTAAATTACACTGCGATATACTTACGTTTATAAGTAGCACCATACTGTGGCAAATTGTGGTTTATCAACACTGTATGTTGTGATACACAATTATATCATGATATACTTCCGTTTAGGCGGTCATTATACTTTGATATACTGTACTTTAGTGTGTCTGTACCATGACATTGAAGAGTACTGCGGTTTTAGTATCATAACTGGTTGTGGTATATTTCAGTTGATCTGTATGTTGCATTGTGATGTACCGAAGTTTAAACGTAGCATTACATTGTGATATATTGGGTTTTATCAGTACTGTATATCATGATATCCTGCATGTTATCTGTACATAATGCTGTGCAATACTGCAGTTAAGCATTTCATTATATGGGATATCCTCCAGTTTGTCTTTACCTTTCTACTGCAGAATGCTGCAATTTCAGTGTTATAAAATCGTGATATATTTCAATTTATCAGTACTTCATATAGCACACATTATTTAGCAGTGCGTTACACTGTGATGCACATAATTTTAAAAGTGACATTATATTGTGACATAGTTTGATTTATCAATACTTTATCTTACACTATTAAATTGGGATATACTGCAGTTTGTCTGTACAATTATATTGCAGAATACTGTGGTTCCAGCACAATAATACTACAATGAAATTTAATTGATCTGTAGCATTATATTACAGAGTATTGCAGTTTTATTAGCATAACTAATTGTGATATATTTCAGTTAAACTGTACATTATATATTTATCAGTACATGACATTGCAATATGCTTAAGTTTATAAGTCACATTATGTTATGATATATTGTAGTTTGTCCATACTGTGCATCGTGATATCCTGCACATTTTCTGTTAATTATATTGTGATATTGTGGAGTTTAGGTGCTCATTATATTTCGACAGACTGCAGTTTATCTGTACCTTCATAATGCAGAACACTGAGGTTGTAGTTCCATAATATTGTTATATATTTCACTTTATCTTTACCATTACAGGGCAACATACTATATTTCTCATTAGAGCAAAAGAGAAAGCACTAAGTTAGATGTGATGGTTAACAAGCAAAGCAGATATGTTCAGTTTTGAAGTATAAATACAATTGTTCAGATGATACGTCAGTGTTTGTTCAGTTTAAGAAACAAATATTCACCTTCCACAAGCACCAGATCAGGGCAGCCAAGATCATCAGCCCCAGAACTAAACTGATGACGATGATGAAGATCTTCACTGGCATTGAGGGTTTCTGGGTAAAAACAGCTTCTACCACCACCTGGAAATGAGACACGTCAGACTTTAAAATTCAAAAACTAAAGCCTCTATAGTGCTTTGATGGTGTACACATATGAGCTCTTGGCTGCTAAAAATCAACAACAGAAGCATGAACTTGTTTGCAGGTTGAACCTTTGATGAGGCCCCGATGATCAGATCAGACACAAAACAAGCTGCTAATTGGCTGTGGGGTGTTTTACCTGTGCTATAGGTTGATCCTGGATGACGATGGTGTTCGAATCATTTCTGGGAGATGACATCATTGCCGTGCTCTCTAATAACATGATACCATGGCGACCCTGAGGCAGAGACACACAGATACATCAGGTTTTTGTCTGCTTCTCTAAATGTAAGGCAGCCTGGGTATAATTCAGTGATGCTGATGCAGTGTTTATGTCCACTACAGCTTTTTATGTTATTGTGGTGCTAATTTAACATGTCAGTCTGATGTCTAACCAAACATCCAGGTCACGTTGAAGTAAGAGCGACACTGTGAGAAGGCTTGTTCTAACTTCTTGAGAAGATACAGTCCACAAAAACATTTTTTTCCCTGCAGTGTGACTGAAACTAACGAGATTAGAATAGAATAGAATAGAATAGAATAGAATAGAATAGAAGTTTATTGATCCCTTTGGTGCAAACCTCAGGGAAATTGTTGAATAAACCTTCAACAATAATCTGACCAGCACGGTCAGTATATTTTAATTTTTTTCAACAAACAAGAGAGACAAACAACAAAATCTCATCATTCAGAGCTTGTGCATGTTCAGCTTTCAAAGACAATGGCAGACAATGATAAATCTGATGGGGAAATGTACGTATCATGTGGAAGGACGGAACACTAAATAGGAAACATTAGTTTACAACGATTGATGTCTAAATTACAAAAAGTCATAACTATAAATAATGAGGCAATGTAATATATTTATTCTTCCAAACAGGGCTTATGACTGCCTCCAGGGATCCTGTTTAATTTGTCTGTATGTAAAACAAAAGAGAAGGAAGTTTTATTCCCGGAGCTATTGAACACTCAGTATAAGACCAAATCAATTTAATTTTAGACATAATAACATAATATAGTGTTAAAACAAAGTTTATTAATACAAGTTCCGATACAGGTCAAAAAATGTGCTGTTTGGTATCTGTAGATTGATCATTCTTAGATTGCTTTATTTGTTAATTGATTATTGCTTTTGAGGGACAGCTAAATATTCTGAACTAAATTGAAACAATACGTGTTGCAGCTTTTTAAAGGTGATCTTTGAGAATTTCTTGTAAAAACAAACCACTAAAACACTCTAGCAAATGCCTTGAACCCTTGTTCATTAAACAATACAACACTGATTTTCTAAAGCATTTAAATCCGTAAATGTATCATCTTCCCTGCCTTTGTTTGCACACTGCCACCTGTTTGTCAGCGGAATAATGTGGTAACAGTGAAACGTGCATACTACAAGTCAAATAATCCACATCTGATGTTCATTTAATGGCAGTCCAATAAAAAAAATGCAAGAAAACAGACTGAAAAAGTAAAAATCCACTTTGCTTGCAGCTAAAAAGCCTGAATGAACCGTCAGCTGTAATGCAACCGGTTTGAACAACTTTATCTGTGTTTTTGTTCAGTCGCAACTCTACAAAATGTCACACTGCTGCTTGTTTTGATGCAATCTGAGTGGAAATAGTCATATGTCTGTGGATGATGAATGTGTGTGTGTATGTTTACCGGAGCTTGCAGCAGAACAGCAGGGTTCAGGCTGATCTCCAGTTTGATGGTAGCATCCCTCCCCACTTCCAGATTTCCGAGGCGACACACCAACCGCTCACACAGGTGGTCACCACGGCCACAAAACTGCACACACGCAGAACAAGACTAAAGTTCATACACTGGAGTTCAGTCGGAGCAGAGGTTTATCAGTGTGTGTCAGTCCACTATTTCTGTCCAGACTGAATATCTCAACAAGCCTTCACAGTCTCCAAATGATGAATCCGGACTTGTCTTATCCTCTGGTGCCACCATGAAGTTAGATTGTGTTTGAGTGAGATTCTGTACTTATCATTGCCCCCTATAGACGAATTATATGACTTTGGACTTCTTAATTAAACAAACTTCACACTATCTTTAACCACACATAAACATAATTTACACCTCGTAGTTGACTTCTCTTAAAGGACAGTCTTGCATCCTCTTTTTTTGACTCTGAGTTTATTCTGATGATTCAGCTGGAAGTAAAAAGTTTAGACACTCATTACATAATGCATTTCATAACATATTTTGTGTGTGTGTGTGTGTGTGTGTGTGTGTGTGTGTGTCTCTACCATTCTGCGTGTGGATGTGGGAGAAAAGAAGAAGACGAGCTGTTTGATGAAGGAAGCTTGAGGGACGTCACAGTCCTCGTTGACTGAAACTGTCGTGTCGCTGATCGAACAGACGCCCTGAGACGACTGCAGACAAACAGAATGAACACATGAATAAGATCTCTTTTTCTACCCCTGAAGTTTTTAACTTGCAGTGTACAAGTACTACTACTACCACTAAAATTACTACCACAACTACTTCTAATGCTACTTCAGCTACTTCCCATTGGATTTTGCTGACTGCTTGTCCAAAAGAAAGCTGACATTCAGCTACAAGAAACAAACAAAAAGAGGACTTCAGGTTTCATATATTTTTATATACTCCTAAATGTTTATATTCCCCTCCTTCACTGTCTTTGTTGCTACACTCTTTCCATCTTTGCGTGTAAAGCTGAATTGTATTCACATTAAACAAAAACATTTTATATGAAGAAGTAAAATCCAGCTGAAAACAGCTGTTCGACGTACCTGCCACTCGAGCACCTGCAGCAGTCGGTGTCTGTAAGGTGCGAGGATTTTCGGCAATGCAATGTCAATCACAGTGTCCACCGACCTGCTGGGTCCAGAGTTTAACACCTGCAGGCAGATAAACAACAGGTAAGTCAGGAAGAGTTTCTACATGAGACTTGTTTTCTTGTGACCTGAATCTGTTGACATTCTGAGCAGTAGGCACCGGAGGACGCAGGTTGAATAAGCTGGTAGCGGGTCCTGTTTGCAGTTTACCCATGAACTTTTGAAGAAAACTCAGGAAAGCTGTGAAGTTACTAAAAGCATAATTAGGCGTGACGCTACTTTAAAGATATATGTAATACGTCTGTGTGTTTAGATTAGACTGTGTTATACTGTGGTGATAACTGGGAAAAGTTAGTCACCAAACTACAATAAACAATTTCTTATAGGTTTCTGAACACCAACATGTAGGTATTGCTTTATCCTCATGCATTATTAGCCTCACATCTTTGCCTTCATGTTCTCTGAAAGTTCCCACTTCTTGCATTTCACCTTCATTAAATTAAACTACAATATACTTCTTGTTTTTGGCTTCCTCTCTACACACGTGCACTCTTAGCTTGCGACTGGTCTTGCTGCTCGTGAAGCCACTAGAAGCAAAAGATTAGTGAGGTTGCAGAAGCTCTCAGAGTGTGTGTGTGTGTGTGTGTGTGTGTGTGTGTGTGTGTGTGTGTGTGTGTGTGTGTGTGTGTGTGTGAATCTGTTTTTAAACGCTTGGATAAACACATCAGACAACCAAGATAGTGGAGACAGAGCACAGTTTTAGCTGGTAAGGAAAAATGCTGAGCCTGAAATCAAATTTCCCCTTTAATTGTCACATAAATTGCCAGCTAGACTGTTTGTGAGAATGTAGCCAATGTACAAGAGTTAAAGCTAGCTGGCAACATACTCACTAGCTATAAACAGCCACAGCAAAATTACGTTTTAGCTTGTCAATGTAGTAATTATTCACCAGATTATTTAGTGAACGACTGTCGCTGGCAAGCTAAGCACAAATACTAAAGGAGCATGCTCTTGATAGTTAGTCACAGTAGTTGTTGTTGTTCTGGGACATTTACACTGTGTTTTGTATAATTTTGCTGTCAACATTGTACATTATTTTAATCACTAAAATGTTATTAATGTTGACCAGCTTGCTAGTTATTATACACAATGAGCTATACAACAACAATTTCACACAACTGAATGAAAAGATTTCTGCAAACAACTTGTCCTTTGAGAGCACGTCCTAGTCTGGTAGGAGACAGTTACAGAAAACTGGATGGTGAAACACGTGTAAGAGACAAGATCCTCCACCTCTGGTTTCACTTCCCTCTAAAGATCAGCACGTTTTGACAACTTGCTTCATACAAACATTTTAACAGATTACATAAGAAAAAAAAGTTATGAATAACACAATAAATGAGCTAAACTACATTTAGCTGCTTCAGTTTTAGGGTCCTGAAATTGCGCTTGTTGGTTCACAGTCACGGTTTACTGAGATGATTAAATGGAACAGACTCAAATTGTTAGTAACACAGGTTCAGTCTGTTGGACTAAATTATACTCAAGCTGAATGAGAAAAGTTTCTTGTTACTTTCCTGCTTCCTTGACATTTAATGTTTTCAGTGTAACAAACTATAAACCTGTAGTTTCAAAAGTGCTCGATACAAACGTGAGAACTTCCTATTCGCTGCTGAGAGAAAACTGCCATCTGTTCACACTGATGCACTTGATGCATCCAGAATTCACTTTGCATTCAACTGAAGAAAACATGACCGACCTTGTACGTGTAGTTGAATCTTTCAGAGTAGCAGCTGGCTGGAATCAAATCTTCATCTCCAATCACGAATGAGGTGGGAGTCACAAAACTGCAGATGGAGAGACAGACATGAGTGCTGACTGACACTAACGATGCTATACACAGTGATTAGGTCATTTCTGACTAAATTCTAATGATTTTACAGGTTGGGGAATTAATTGCTACCTTGGGTTTTGAATTGTACACTATAAATATATATTATTACTATAAAAACAGCAGCCTATGCTGACTTACCCGTGGATGTTGACATTGATCCCATATTTGAGAGGAAGCACAAGCCTCATGGAGTTGTCATGGAGATACTCCTCCCTCTCATAGTTATCGCTGAAGAGAAAACAGATTCAATCTAATTAATTCTGTTTAAAAATGTTTCAAATCAATGTAACCTTGTTTCTCTTTTGTTAAGGTTCAAAAACAAGTCAATCTTATACTGATTTCATTTTAAAATCATTCAAATTGCACATCTCCTCTTAAGTCCTTTTTTTCTATTTCGGTGTCCATTTAGTTTCTTTTTCTGGCTTTATTTTAAAGTTAAATCACAACAGTAACGTTACATAATGGATGAAAACATTTATCACACTTAATAGTTTCAATTTTGGGACTGATTTTATACTTCATTATTTTAACTTTAGTTGAAATTGTTGCACATGTGAGTTTGGCAGCTGTTCTTGGCCTTTTATAAATGTGTGTGTGGTTCTTACCTGTAGGTGTTGACGTGAATGGAGATGTTACCAGCTGTGCTGCTCTGGTTAACGTCCAATAGAAAGCTGATATTCAGCTACAAGCAGCATACAAAAAGAGGATTTCAGGTTTCTTATATTTTTACATATTCCTAAATGTTTCTATATTTTTAAAATAACAGTGCGTGATCTGTTGATTGACTGGTTTACCTGGGAGTGGGCTGGAAGCCGGAGGCTGGTAACGCTGCAGTCGACACCCGCCGTTGTTGTGTTCACCTCCTGTATGACGTCACAGCTGACCATGTTTTCCTCCTGCATACAAAAAGACACACAGACTTGTTGTGGTTATTGTGTCCAGTGAGTTATTTGTGTTGCTGACGTTTTTTTGGTGGCGTTTTGGTCAGTCTATGTCAATTCAGGTAGAATTCAGATAATGTGTTACTGCACAAAGTTTACTTGTTTGTTATTTGTGACCCTAAGTTCTGTGAAATATTTTAGATTGATTTGGATGCAGAAGTTATACTTCTGAAGCTTTAAAATGGCTTCCCAGTTAAGACATTTTTTTTTGTGGGTGAAATTATAAAAATCCCCCAGCTCTGAAAACATTGTCAATTCAGCCAAAAAATTTTACAGAATCTAACTTTGAGTCCCAAAAAAACAAACTGAACAAAATCTGAGACGGTGAAGCGATATCTTTATCTGAATTGACACTGACTGATGCATTTACACTCTGAATCCAGCTTTTCTGTGCTGTATTCAGACTACTGTCACACAAATGAGGGACTCACATGATATAATGCAGCATGTAACAGCTGCAACAGCACAATTTTATCTTGTTTATTAGGACTTTCACTCCTCTACAACCGTAACCGTCAGAGCTCAATTAAATTATTTCCAGTGCAACAGTTCAACTGGCAGAACACTTTGATTGCTAAGAAGCCACAGAAGACATCATATATTTGTCACAGTTCTGGCTGTAAGGATGTGTCTACAAAACAAGACATGGTCACTTTCTATTTATTTGTCAGTGGATCAGTTTTAAAGGTCCCACAGGTGGTCCAACACTGGCAATATGTAATTATGTAAAGAAAAAAAAAAAGATTTTGTATAGTATGGCCCTTTAAATATCAACTGTTGGATAAAGGTTGCACATAAACTTAAAGTTACCAACTGTGTTATTGTGTGCTGCTGTTGGGTTGAAAACTACTTGCAGCATAAAATCAGATCAAGGTTGCTCATATCACGATAGAAAAGCAAACTATTAGGTGATTATTTTGTTATGCCAATGTTGCTTTGTGTGGTTGCACTGTAAACAGCCAGCAGCTCCTCTGTTCTATTTCCTTCCCTTTTTTCAATATAATGTTTTTCACTTTTTGTCGTTTGTTTAACAGTGAAAATTCTGAGGTCGCCAGCTGGAATCACATTGGGAACTCTGTTGTATTTCTGATAAAGCTGCTCAGGATGGCTGCAGTATTAAAACACGCTTGTTATTAATGCCACCAACTTCGGATTTCACCAAATCAACCAGGACTGACAGCTTAAGGAATCTTTAATAGAACCTGTCCAATCAACATGACTCACGTTCTGCAACACTTTGATGTAGTGGATGTTGTTGGGAAAACGCAGTGTCAGTTTTGGCAGGAAGGCGTCGTCTCCAGAGTTCAGCACTGAGGTTTTCAACATGATGGTCTGCCCAGAGCCCAGAGCAAAGTACCGCTGCTGACTGATGACAAACAAGACACACAACAGCATCACTGGTGTTGCAGTAAGAACCAACATCTTACATTACATCACTAACTAACTAGGAACAAAACACACTTCGTGTCTAAAGTGCAGCTCACTAGTTGCAGTCCTCAATGTAAAGATCAGTAGAGGTTGTCATCTCTTCTAGCACTGACAAATTCAGATTTTGTTGTATTTTTGTAGAATTTTTTGCAGAGCCAGAATTTTAAAATTGCATCCACCAGCACCTCTGACTAGTTAGCACACTATGTCACATTTACTCAAACTGGACACAAACAAATGCAAAAACGAACAAAATTTGCTGTTTTCTTAGGTGTAGTTTTTTACAAACAGGAAAGCTGCATCACTTATCTTCCAGTGTGCAAAGTTAAGCTCACTACATCCCAACTCCACCTCCATACCCAAAGACTGAAACCAGCATCTTACTTCATTTTCACCAGAAAAAGCAAATTAATATATTAACATTCACAGAAGATTTCTAAACGTTTGCATTCGTTTAAACTGCAGTGTACACTTGTGTTGTGATTTTGTCACATAACCAGCGGCAAAGACATTAACAACAACCAGCCGTTAGAGTCGAGATAAAAGCGAAGATGCTGACTAATGATGTCGTAAATAATTCATCCTGAATTAGCCAGCAGCTAATTAGCATCATGTGTTGTGAGGGAAACAACGTCTGTGTTATTTTTAGAGAGCAGAATGGATTATGTTGCACATAAACCACAACTGAAGAGAAGATGACCTGTGTGTGACTTATGTGCTCAGACTAAGTTAATAAAACACAATACTGCTGTTGTTTTCAGTCTTTTCCTTTGTGTTTCTGTCTTTATGATGCACACAAAGCCATGCTGTGTGTCGTGTATTCTTACTGTGGCAGCACTAGTTTCGTCGACAGCTGCATGTTGGTCGAACAGTTCACCAGATAGCAGGAGCGAGCGAACCAAGTCTGTAAGAGCAAAACAGTCAGAGGATTTATGGCACCAGTGATAATAAATGAACGGAGCGGTCACAATCTTTTCATCCATGACATCACAAACAGCTCCTGTGACCTCCAACCCCTGACCTCAGCGTTACAGACGATTAATAATAATGTCCTGATGACTAACTCCAGCTGTGAATTCCTACTTGTTAACTTTTCCTGCCCTGTTTTTATGAGTGGGGGGGACATTGGGTGGACACACAGGAGCAGGATGTTGGCTAATGTGCTGCAGATGAGGCATCGCAGCTGTAAACACATGAGGATTAGCAGGAAGGCATTATCAGCGGGTGTTGGGACACTGACATAAGACTAGCTGTTTTCATTTCTTACACTGAAGGAAACTGATGAATTAATTATCACATTATTTTCAAAAGGCATAGCCTAGTAGGCCCTTCTAGATAACCCTCTGAACCTAAAACCTCCTGATGGGGGTGAAAGTCATGTTATCTTTTTGAAAAATTGCCAAAATTACACCACTTACCCGAGCCAGAAACTGTAAAACCAGAGAGAATTATTTCAAGTATCGGTTTCATTCGGAAACGTGAACAAATCTAAGTTTAAGATCATGGTATTTCTCTAAAAGTTCTTTGTTCTGCATAAGTAATTTTTAAAAAATGGCAAAAATCTAATCGCTTGCTCTGACAGATTCTGTAAAAAACTAAAACTTCTGCACTCCTCAGTGCAACCAGGATGTGATGAGTGACTCAGCTACAACCAACAAACAATTGCCAAAAATTCAGGCAGTTTTCAGCTGAACTGCAGGCTGTGTTTTTACAGTTGAGTTGTTGGGAGACATGTTTGGAATTAAATTAAAAATGTAGGTAGCAAAATATCTCTGGTATGTGGAGCCACCTTTCTTTCCTAATATTGGTTTAAAAAAAAATAAAAAAAATCTAGAGGCATTTTGAAAAATGTTGTAACGGTTGCTTCCAGGCTTTCTCTCTCTTTTTTTTACTGTGTGTTTTTTTAAATTATTATTTATGACATTATACCTGCGTCATACAGGACAAAACACATTTTTGAATTCTGGCTACTTCTAGTCATGGTGGTGATGTTTCCACCATAGAGGTGCAGGACTTTATAATACAGTGAAAAATGAGCCCATGGTGAGTAAAAACTGCGACAAAAGCAAACAAAAAAAAACCACCCATGGACTGCTTGGGATTCAGAGGGTTAATACTAAAAATAAACTTGGAATAGGGAACGAGTTTGTGCAGAGAGGTAATATTCTGGACAGATATTACAGATTTTAGATCTTTGAATTAAAGTTAAACATCAAACAAACCAGTAACTTGTAACTCACCTCTGTATTTATTGTTGCTTCCAGTAAGAAAGCCTCCTATCTTGGTGCATATTCATTGTATTAACTGCTGGTTCTATACCTAAAGCTGCATTTACATTACAACAGAAAAAACGTATTATTGTGCACATGATGTGATAACCAGCTGGTACCTGGTTGGTGATGGTGTTGTGGTGTCCTGCGCTCTGCTGCAGAATCGGCTTTAACGCAGGGAAGGTTTTGGACGAAGCTCTGTGAGTGTTTGTGTCCTTGAGACTGTAGGAAACCTCAAACTGAACCGGAGTAAAAATGTCCCTCACATCTTTCTATAGGAGGAACAAACAGAGAAGGAATAAACTTTGTTAGCGTCACTTCAGCTAAGCCAATCAACATGTTATTACATCCATATTACACATGTACATTGTGTGTTTTTTGTACGTAGGTGTATTACCCTCTGGTAAGCCACGTGTGTTTTACACATGAGATGGCCTTGTCGTGCTCTCAGATGTCCCTTTGTGCTATTGGATGATCCGTTACCATGGAAATAGAAGCGATGAGGGAAGGTCGGTTTATGGAGGAGGTCAGCAGTCAAATTATATTGAAGATCTGAGGAGGATGGACGAGAAACAATCTTAAATATCAGTCAGTTGTTCACTCTTGTGTACAGTATTTGGAGCAGCTACTGCTCAGGTACAGCTTCACACCAGTCACTGGGCACTTCTGCAGGTCTGTAAAGCTTTTGATTTCACCAAATGTTGAAGCAGTACACAAGGAGATGCAGTAAGAGAGAGAATCTGCACTTAAAGACAGTTTTTTTAGTCTATGTGAAAGAGTAAGTAATGGATTAGACAGTATTTGTCGGCTCGGATGTGAGCTGCAAATATCTTACTACCTACAGCAAAAGAAATACACCAGTTTGTGAGGTTATAGATTGTAATAAAAAAAAGTCTATTTCACAAACAGCACATCCACTGTGTGGAAGTAATCAGAGTTTAGGGAAATGTTAGCAACTTTATCCTGCTCCTCACTGGATTTAGAAAGCATTCTCCAGCCAAACATATCAGTCCTCACTGGAAAAGCCTTTTCCCTCGTAGCATCAAATGGAAAAACAAGCCATGCTGGTTCTGTTATTGCAAAATTATAGTCGACCTTACATTTTTCCTTCTTATGTATCTATAGCATTCAGACCAACTAGCTTTAGGCTGTGATACAATAAAAATACTGTATTTTAAGTTCTTCTTCATGGATCATTTTGCAGGTGAATATACAAAGCTTTTGCCTGCATATATTAGCTTTAGCCTCAATATCTTATCAATGTATGCAGACACAAAGTGCATATATAAAACGATTTAGCAGAAAACAAAAGTCTGTCAGAGCTCGTGTTCTCAAACAACAGAGACTGTTATTTTAATCGACAGAGTCAATTGTCATCTCTAAAAAATGTATCCAAAGTTTATTGTGAATCTGCCACTGTTTTAATTGTAAACTGTTTGTGAGCTCTTTAATAACAGTAGGCTTAAAGACTGTAACTATACAGGAGGGCAGACAACATTAAACTTAAACATAAGCAGGGTTTAAAATCTTATAAATGAACAGACAAGAGCTTGAGTCTTAGATTGTCCGCAGCAGGGTCACAGTACCTATAGGTCCTCTGAACCGCCTGGACTTCACACTGAAGCAGATGGTCACATTAAGGCAGACAGTCGGGGTCTTGTGATCATGACAAAGCGCCACCCGCTGGTCAATCTGCTCGGGCAAAGTCAGAGACGCCTTCACCTGAATCACTGGACGGGTCCTGCAGTACAATAAGAGAAATGATTACAGCACACTGAGGGGGTTTCCCTACAGTCATATGATTCCCTGATGACAATTTATATTGAAAACAGATGGATTTAATCACTTACAATCGCAAAATCTAGAAATGTTATGTTCAGCTGATGTGGAAAACTTTTATCATATTGTGGGATGTCCTTCCTCTCCTGTGGTATAAATGCAGTTATGAAGCTTCCTTCCTCTACAGCTGTATGAACGGAGACAGAACTGGAACGACATTTCAACAGGAAGCTTCAGTGTAAGTTTACCTGAGAACCACAGCTGAGTCCGAGAGGAAGGCCCCGACCGCCACATCTGCAGAGACACACAGTTTAATCTGCTTTAGAACAGATCTAATGAGAACAGAAACGTACAATGTGGCAGACACTGAACATCATTTACCCTGGTAGCCGTTATCATCGATGTCAATGCCAGAGCTCAGCGACTGGCCGAACATCCTGAGGTCATGACCCAGAGTGGATCCCGTAATCCTCTGAAACACACACACACCATTCGTGATATTACAGAACTAGTGGTGGAATGTGAC